GATCACTAGAAAGCCTTCGATATGCCTCCTTACGAAAGCATCTTTGGATGATGGTTGGTTATGGCACCAAAGGCTTACGCATCTCAACTTTGAGAAGGAACATTTGTGTGCAGTATGTGAACTGGGAAAGCAAAGTCGGAAGAGTCATTCGACTATCATCAACACCAAAGTGATCGAGCCACTTGAACTATTACATATAAATCTTTATGCTCCATCTGCCATCGAGAGTATTAGTGGTAACAAATACAATATGGTTATTGTTGGTGAATTTTCCAGATTCACTTGCGTTTATTTTCTTAAAAAGAAATCAGATGCAACTTCCAAGCTAAAGGAGTTCATCAAGCAGAACGAGCTTCAATCGCGACAGCCCGTTCGGAATGTTCGAAGTGATAATGGTTCAAAACTCAAAAACCAAGTGTTTGAAGAATTCCTGACTGAAAAAGGAGTTGCTTACAACTTATCTGCTCCTTAGACTCCTCAGCAAAACGGTGCTGTTGAAAGACGAAACCAGTCTCTTTACGAAGCTGCGAGGACTATGTTATCTTTTGTGAACCTTCTACTTTACTTTTGGGTTGATGCGATCGGAACTGCCTGTTTCACTAAGAATCGCATCCTATTCAATAAGGTATTTCTTATCACTCCTAAGAGATTCTAAATAAACTAAAGCCTAACATTAAGTTCTTTCTTATTTTGGGTTCTAGATGCTTCATATTCAGTTCAAAAGAACCATGGAAATTTTTTGATGTAAAGGCTGATGATGGAATCTTCCTGGGATACTCTTTTACTTTTAAGGCATATAGGGTTCTGGACAAGAAATTCAAAAGAATTAAATAAACCTATTATGTCACATTTGACGATAACTATTTCAAGAAGTATCAGAAGACTGATTATAAAGGTGAGGAAATCTTTCCTTCAATAAGTTCGACGATGATTCCTCTTTCAAATCTCTACGAGGAATTCATGAACCTGTTTGTTGATCCAAAAAAGGCTATCTCTTCGGAATTAAATGCCCCAGATAATAAGGAAGATGAACTAAAGATGATCATCGATGATGCTGCCAAAGATCTTGGAAATGAGCCACCTACACCGAAGGGTTCTGATATTCCAAAGAACTCGAAAATTCCACCTTCACCACAAGCTGCTAATCACATATTCATGGGAGGGTTCCACTTTAAACTCCACATCTTATTCACCTGTTCTGGGGGAGAATTGAAATCCCGAAGTCAGCCAAGACATTCCAATCTAGGGGGAGAACCCGATTCCGAACGTAGAGCCACATGCACCATTCTAGGGGTAGAATGAGCGTGAAAATAATGATTTAGATGTAAATGCAGAATTGGATCGATCCTATGATCCGAACTACCCTCCTTTGGCAAAGTGGACCAAAGATCATCCTAAATCACAAGTGACTAGAGCAGCTTCTTCCCGTGTTCTCACTAGAGCTCAACAAAAAGTGAATCAGACCGTATTATTTTACAAAATGAAATTTTGCATGTTTAATTCATTCATTTCCAAGATTGAGCCAAAAACAGTTAAGATTGCTCTTGATCATTCTCATTGGGTGCAAGCAATGCAGGAAGAGCTCAATGAGTTTGAGCGCAATAAAGTTTGGAGGTTGATTCTAACTCCGAAGGATGCATCTGTTGTTAGATTGAAATGGGTATTTCGAAACAAGCTTGACAAAGAAGGAAATGTGATAAAAAACAAAGCACTATTAGTTATGAAAGGGTATTGCCAAGAGGAAGGCATACACTATGAAGAAACATTCGCACCGGTTGCAAGGCTAAAGTCTGTTTGCATTTTTCTTGCCTATGCAGCTCATAAAATTTTTGAAGTCTATCAGATTGATGCCAAGTGTGCATTTCTGAATTATAAGTTAGAAGAAATTGTCTATGTAAAACAACCACCAGGTTTCCTAAACGAGAAACATCCAAATCATCGTTACATTTTGGATAAGGCTGTGTATGGCTTAAAATAAGCACCACATGCATGGTATGGAACCCTTACTCGTTTCTTAAAGCAATCTAAGTTTAAGTAAGGCTCTGTCGACCCAACCTTCTTTTGTAAGAAAGATGGTGACCATCTGATGATCATCCAAGGAGGTTCCTAATCTAACAACTAAGTAGGAGGTCTTAGGTTCAATCCCTGGCATAAAAGATATTTAAATTATTTTTCGTTTCAAAAAAATCTAACGATCGTCCAAATCTATGTTGATGATATCATTTTCGGATCTACTAATACTAGATTAACTGTTGAATTCCAAAAAACTGATGGAAACTAAGTTTGAGATGAGCTCAATGGTCTAATTAACTTTTTCCTTGGTTTAAATATTAGAAAGAGTCAAGAGGGTATATTCATCAACCAACAGGCTTATAAGAAAACCTTGCTTGCGAAATTCGAAATGGCAGGAGATTCAAAGGTCAAGGTTCTAATGGCATTCAGAACAAAGCTTACACCGTCCTTGGACAAGCATGTAGCTCGTTTGACTTTGTATCGACAAATAATTGGATCTTTAATATATCTAACATCGAGTCGTCCATATATTATGTTTGTTGTTTGCTATTATGATAGGTTTCAAGTGAATCCTCATGAATAACATATGATTGCAGTGAAGAACATTCTTTGATATCTTAAGAGAACATTCAGGTTTCTTTGTGAAAGCATTCTCTGATGTTGATCTTGGTGAATGTGGTCTTGATCGTAAAATTAAAACTAGAGGATGTCAGTTTCTAGATGGAAAACTCATCAATTGGTTAGCTAAGAAGAAAACATGCGTCTCCTTATCTACCGATGAAGCTGAGTATATCGCAGCTGCCTGATGTACTTCTAAAGTGATATGGATTCAGAGTCAGCTTAGGGATTATGGGATTAATATGAAAAATGGTCCCCTTATACTGTGATTTTGAAAGTGCTATCCTAGTGCAATATTCCAACACAAAAATATAGCACTAAGGTATCATTTCATAAATGTTCATGTAGAGGATGACAATGTCGAAATTCACTTTGTGCGATCTGCTGATCAACTAATTGATATCTTTACAAAAGCCTTACTTGAACAAACCTTTAATAGAATTCTACAAGGATTAGGAATGATAGAAGCTAATTCCATTCTGAAAACAACATAGTAAAGTAAAGCAGTGTTCTCTCTCCGAACCGCTCCAAGCCCTCAGAATGATTCGGAATCTATACTTCATGTTCCGAATGGTTTCGAATCCCCGGAAAGACTCAAAGTCTACTATTTATCTGAAGGATCAAAAGTTTTATATCATTTGTATATTAAGTCTCTTCCAACTAAATCAAAATTTACTGTACATTTGTGTTTTTGAGTTTATTTTTCTATTTTTATTTCTTTTTCAGAAAAATCGAAAATCAAAAAAATATTTTCTTTATTTCTATTTTATCTTTTTCAGAAAAATCCAAAATCACACACACACACACACACACCCACACACACACACACACACACACACACACATATATATATATCTTTTTCAGAAAAACCAAAAATAACCAAAAATATATCTTTTATTTTGTGTGATATTTTCAACATTTATTTTAGATGCAAGTATATATTCATCATGCTTTCAATTCAGAATGATGGGAACAGGTTTATAATTCTGAATATTTGCACGAGATAAGTATCCTTAGAAGCATGCTGGTGCATTTTGCCCAGAGCCTCTGAGACTTTATGTTTGAAGCCTTACTGAATCGATAACACCAATCGTTTCTTCCTAAATAGGCTATTTATTCACATAAGTAATTAAGCTACCTTACGCTTCTCACAATGAGTTAATAGTTGACTGCTGAGTCATTTGTTTATAGTAGAGGTACACCTTCTTCGAAACCATGTTATTTGTTTCTCCATCAACCTTACTTTCACAAATATAACCCTCGAGACTCTCAGAAATTATCACTGAGGTTTATGGTTACACAACTATTGTGTTTATGATCTTAAAATTTCTATCACCACGATTTTAGTGAAACCCAAAATCTGAAACCAATTTCTGAATTGATGATGAATAATCAATATATTCTAGATATATTAACCAATGAATTGATGAATAAAACCTATGTGGTTGGTACCTTTCACATTTTAACATCTCATTTTTCTTTTTGTGTGATTAATATGAAAAGCACTCATCCCAACACTTTTCTTCCCAAAAGATCCAGTTTTTATTTTTCTTGAGATTTCAATATTGTCCAACCACTTAAATAATTTCATAGCCTACTTGTTATTATGACTACACTGGTGAGATAAGTACTTCTTCCAGCCTTTCAGAGTCATGTTGAGCTTCAGAATTTGGTTGAAGCTTAAGCCACCCTTTAAAGCCTAAATGAGAAGAATCCTTTCACTCTTTCTCAACAAACAAATGATCATAATTCAACGGGATACCACACAGAAACTTCTGAGAAGGAAGACATCATTGCTCGGGATCCAACTGTTTTTATGTTGATTTATAATTTACATCACAAATTCCTATATATATATATATATATATATATATATATATATATATATATATATATATATATATATATATATATATATATATTTATTTATTTATTTATTTATTTATTTATTTTTTTCTTTATCTTTGGCACACTCTTGCACAAAAATCCTTGTGATTTTTCATAAGTCTGGTTTCATAATTCCGAACGGTTACTTTCAATTCCGAGAACAAGATATAGCAATGTGATGCTTCATTACGAATGTGCAGAACGGAAATGGCGGGTTTCTAAGGATAATATTTCAATCAAGCACGTTAATTTTGAAAATGCATAGACATCATGCTTGTCAGTTACGCTGCCTGACATCATCCAACTGTCACATTATTCTAGGAACCTTTATCGGGATACAGAAACGTCCAAAGGGTTTTTCTCTCACCACTCAAGCCATATAAATGGTAATCGACACTTGATTTTCTTTTACCGCACTTAAAGTCTTCAAAATCTGTGGAAAAATACCTCTTTTCTCTCTGCACTGTTCATCATCTTCTCCAATGGTTTCCTTGGCTAACTCCTCTAAAACTCCATCCATTACTGAACAAACCGCTTCATCGGTTATGCTGAACATCAAACCCAACCAAAACCTCATCTTGGATCTCGATTCATCTAAGTACGCTGACTCGCTCAAGCATATGATCGAGTGCCTCCGTTACTCTCCATTGGTTCAACCCCTAATGATGGATGAGAATGTCCCATTGGTCCATCTATTTAAGGCATTCTCCATTGCAAGCTACCAACATAGTGAGGCTATGATAACGTTTGAGGTTGATTCCCATAAAACCTCCATATCCAAGGCTCGATCTAGCAGGATGCAAGGGATTTATTCTACAGTGGTTGTGGTCTATCTGGAATCAATTTCTTCATCTACGATTCTGGAGATGTTCTACCTAATGGGGTATTTGGAAAACCTCTCTCTCGTATCGAAATTCAAGAAACCTAACCTTCCTCCGATGTGGAATGGGCTTTTCACTCCATTGTTTAAGAGCTTCTCTGAGTAACTTACATGTTTAGATAGTGCTAGCAAGCTTTTCTGCACAATAATCTACGGTCTGTGTTCGGGGATTAACTTTGATTATGGTCTAAACCTCTAGGCTCAACTGGTTCAAAGAACACTTTCGACTACAAGGCACTTGGAAATCCGTGGGATCCATTCCGAAGGCCTTGCTACTCAATGTTCTGGTGGACCATGTGCTAATCAATGAGTATCGAAGGAAGCCTGCCTCAGGTCCTCGTCCTATGTCTGAATAATTTCAAAGGACACTTGAATATGGAAGAAACCCCAAAAAGGGAGGAAAGAGAAAAGGGAGAGCTGGACCTTTTGAGCCAGCTCAAAATCCGATAATAATATTAAGAAGGCTGCTTGCAAACCAAGGTATCCTTCTCCTATCGCTAAAGGGGATTCAGATTCTCGCACTGTTTCGGAGATTCATAAGTAAACCGAAGATACTACAGCGACTTCGCAACCCATGGTCTCAGAGCCCATTCCTAATCAGTCTACTGTGAAGGTATCATCTCCAATTTCCACTTCAATTCCCTTGACAGATGATTACTTTCATCTTCCTTCTCCTCTGCCTTCTCCTACTACTACTTCTACACCAATCTCTACAGCTATCACCATAGCTCGTTTGCTAAATGTAGCTTTTGGAGTTTCTCAACCACATATATCTATTTCCCAAACAACTCTACTCTACACCAATTCTACCAAAAGCACTACTACAAGTTCACCTCAAGTGACTGTCAATATATCTGATACGGGGGTAGGTGCTTTTGGTGTTACAGTCGGTTCGAGTTCCACCCCAGTCTCGCCCTTAAGGGATGATGATCCAGATACGATTTTTGGTGATGATCAAAATGATTTTCAAGACTTCCATTACAACCCATTCACTGTTCATCATTCTAGTGATGATGATGATGAGGCCATATGACAAAAGGGAAGTTCAAGGTTTTAAACGACAAGTTGGATACTCTGCTCGAGTCTTCCAAATCTTTATCCAATAATGAATATTCTTTCGAGTCTCACAAAGACCTGATTGAGAATTTAACAAAGGAGAATGCCAAGAATCTTGCTAACTTAACCAATGATGTTGAATCTTCTAAGAATACAGTTTGTGAAACGATCGAGAAAGTCGAAAAACTACTTTTTCATGTGACACAGTTTATGGTAGAATTCCGAAAATCTTCGGACCAAAATACTGCATCTACTAACAAAGTTATAACCAGTCTTGGTACCACTCTTCAAACAGAGAAAGAAGCTTTATCTAAGGTTCGTTCAAAACCCAGGGTGGATAATGCTGAGATGAGTGCCTATATCGTTTCAAAGATTTAGAACCTATAAGAGGATTTGGCAACAAAAAAGAAAATCATGGATCAGCTGACAGTCAAAACTGATAGAATGAAAGTTCTTTATTTTAATCTATCTCATGCCAACAAACAATTCTACGATCTTAATTCCGAGAAGACTGTTCACAAAACTTGTGTCCCAGATGTCAAGCTTTACTTGTAGAATATTGTAGAGACTCGTGATTCGTTGCTCACAGTATTGATATAACAACATCTTGCAGAAAAAATTAAGCCAATATTCTGCATGCTTAATAATATCGAAGGTGTTTCGGAATCTGATGCTCATCCGAAACAAGGGGGAGAAGCTAAGAAGACATCTGGTGAAGAACCCAAAAAAACAAGTGGTGATTCTAGTGAGTACGAACATAAACCACTGCCAAAAAAAAATATTAGAAGGGTAATAAAGCTTCTAGATCTAAAAGCAAAGGACAAATGGTTTATGACAATGATGATGAAGAAGAAAATGTATCTAAAGGGTCAAATATCAAACGAAAGAAACGTGACAAAGAGCTTGATGATCTTGAGCGTGTTGCAAAGGAAGCTGAAGCTCATGATAAGGAGGCTCGTGATGGACAAGTCACACTTATAATACAAAAGACCCTCTTCCTTCCTTGGTCCATGGAGAGGATTCTAAACGAGGCCATTAACAATCTGAGCATCCACTGGTCAGATTCAGTTGTAGCATTCGACTTGGAAAACACTTCAGAATCCCAACTTGATTTTCCGATCACCCTGAAGGCTTTTCTTTTCTGAAGTTTTGAGAAGATTGAGAAAGCTCCTGATCCAGATAATGATGTCAATCACATGATTTTCTCCATTTATATTAAGCACGGAATGCCCCAATATCAGATATGGAGTTTGAAGAAGATAGTTGTAGTGAAAGTCTTTGAACTGGTTGAAACAGAAAGCTTCATCAATTTTTGATTCAAAGCTATCCGAGTACAGGGAGTTCGGTCTTTGAATTCACTCTTGCTGACTCGCTGTACCTAAATCCATATGATTGGATTTATTTGTTCAGTCTTTTGTTAAAAGATGATGTGACAACCTGAAGTTTATCCTATTGCTGTAACCCGTTCTATCAATAAAAATTCGTCTTTTCAAATTCTTCCGTTTATGTTTTTAAATTAAGTCATTTATTTAGAAACTTCTATTATGACTTAATGGGTGTCTGAACACGTTAGGTTTACGTGAAAACATTCCAAATATTTATTTGGAAAAATTATAAGTTTCGACCACGTCGGGTTACAGTAACCAAATCGGGTACGACCAAAATCCACGTTCAACGTCAGTATCGGGTAGAATTCCACCGAGCCCTAAACCCGAACCATATATAAAGTTGACTTGGGTCTCATTTGAAGCTTTTCTCCCCTCTCTCTCTACTCTCTCACTAGAAACCCAAGATTGATCCAAAATCATCCAAAACAAGCTCCAAATCGGTAAGATAACTATCCTAACTCATAGATTAGCATCTTTAACCTTCAAATTCATGTTTAAACTATGAAATAGGACCATAAACATGAGTTTACAGCCCTGGAACACCCTTGGGCCGCAAACTCACATAGAATGGGTTTTTGAGCCTTAAAACCCTTCCAAACCACATTTGGAGCTTATATACAACTTAGGGCTTACCATAATGGACTTAGAACACCTAAACCTTGACATTTGAGGATTAAACATGAGTTTACTGCCCAAGAACATGCTTGGGCCATAAACACCATTTCATAGGTAGTAAACTCCTTCTAATGTGTTAGGATGCCCCTTAAACACCTCCTAAGCCTTGGAATAAAGTCTAGAAGCAACCAAAAATGAGTTAGGGACCTTAAACTTGATAGAAACACTCCCTAAGGAGTTCACGGCCGTAAACCCCCCAAGGATGGGTTCCTGCGCCGTAAACTCCTATAACATGGTCAAATGATGCCTTAACTTCATCCCATGACTTGGATACTGAGCTAGAAACACTTGGGATTGACCTAGGATCACCCAAACACATTAAGTCATTGCACATGAGAGTTTACGGCCGTAAAATCATAGTTTACTACTGTAAACTCCTCAAATGGTCCCTATGATGTTCAAATCTCATTCCAATGCCTCAAAACCAAGCCTAGCATCACCCCTCGTGAGTTATAAGACCATTAGGCAACCAAAAACACCCCCACCATGAGTTTACGGTCGTAAACTCATGGGGAGTTGGTCATTGGTCCGAAAACTCCATTGGGAGTTTACTTTTGAAGAGTAAACTCCATATCCAAGCCATACACATCCATAAATGCTACCCGGGTCACTCCAAACACTTGAATTGAAGTGTTTTCGCATCTAGAAGTGTTTATTCTTATCTAACTAGTGGTTCAAAGTCTTATTAGATACAATTATATATCTCTTCATATTACATAGGAAGCTCACGCATTCTCAAACCCCGAACTGACACCTAGCATCCAACGGACACACTTCTCGACTGGTGAGTTCATACCCCTACGTTTTCCATGTTTTCAATGTTTTCAGGGGGGAATACAAGCAAAAGTACAAGAACATCTTGTACTTAAAGTTATTATTTCATTTGAATAGTTTCATATTTCTTATACTTTTAACACTGGAAAACATTTTAACCAAATGTTTGACTTGCAGAGTTAGTTTTCAAACTAATTGCAAACCTGATTATACAGTGTTATGTTGTATATTTCACCAATGATTTGTCACTTCATTTATGTTAAAATCATTAACCTAGAACATTAGAACCCGTACTCGGTAACACTCCACAGAGATACGCGAGTGGAGGACCCCCGTTGTAACCAGAATCACAAACATGATTTTTCGCATTACTACTTGTAAATTTTTGAATCTTAATAATTGGAGACACATCCTCGGAAACACTTCACAGAGATAAACATGTATCGCTTTACTTTTAAACAAATGTAATTATTCATATGTAATGTAATGTTTTCTGTTTACTATGCTTACTATGTACATTGTTTGTGATACTCTACATGACGTCCTCCGCCCCGGAACGTTTCGTCCATCGGTTTCGGGGTGTGACAAATGAACACAAGTTCGAACCAATAGTGGCATATCTGAAAAGAATGTTAGTCTCCTACATTACATAAATCGGCAAAATGGATGTGGAGATTGTAGCTGTACTAAGAAACAAACCCAATGTGCAACCTAAAGAATATCTGGATGATATCAACAAGATGAAGCTGGAAAAAATCCAAAAGGATAATTAGAGCATGGCGTTTCAACAACGAGAAGGCGAGAAAGTTTAGAAGTGCTTGTTTTCCTTACTAGACAAGCATCTTATTCTACATCAATCTGAACTACATTTTAGGGATTACAGAACAATGCAAATCGAATGATGTTGAAGATAAGAAGTGCTTCACATATATGATCAAATGGTATATCGTGATTCACAACACTTTGCTTGGATTAGTACTGAAGCTATTCAAATTTCAGAAACATCAGCCACACTAAAGAATCTACCTTCTTTAATTGACACAAAGGGGGATATTGTTGGGATAAATAATGGTGTGTTAATTGTTTTGTACTAGGATAGTCCATATTGTAACGGGTTGGGCCTGTCCACCCCAGTTTTAATGGTATTAGGGTTAGACTATTTATAGTGCATGCATGCACTATTTTAGTGGTAACAAGTTGTATTGCCCTATGTAGTCTTTACAGAGAAGTTCTAGTTGAACTTTTCTAAGGCTATTAAATCTAATCGTTTGACACTATTTTGATCTTCATTGTTCTTATTGTTTGGTTGATTGCACTTGTTAGAATCTATCGATCTATTATTTATTGGTTCAATAGTAAATATTTCAAAGAGATAAACCGTGCCATGATATTTTCTATTTAGCATCGCGATACCCATAAATCTTGTTTTACAATGAAGTATGAAGTTCCATTTTAGGCAAAAGTGTAATGTTTGGAGTTCCAGGTATAATACATTCAAAATTTATTTATGAGTTCTTTTGGGGTACTACGTAGGATAGGTTACCCCATGATATGGCATGGTTAAAGTGATCAAGGATCAAATTTTGTGTCCCACGATGTGGAAAGTATACGGCCACAACATGGCGACCATCTGAAGGCAAAACCGTAATTTTTCAGGCTTTGGGCCCTATTTAAGGAAAATGTGAGCTAGGGTTTGGTTACCCTCAGCCTCCAATTTCTTCCTTTCTAACTCTAATCAGATCTAGCCTCCATTGTTGAGATTTTGAAAAGTTTTGTGGTGTTCTTGACATTTTGAAGGAGAAGGAAGCCCATTTGGTGCATTATTTCATCTATCCATCCTCATCATTAGCAAGCACCATTTATGGACCAATTCAAGTGTCCAATATTCAAGCTTTTTGGTTGCATGTCTCTAGATCTAAGTTCCTTGTCCCTTTTCTTCATGTGGAATTTTATAGTAATATATTCCATAAAGATGGAAAGTTTATGGATCCTTGAGGTCCTTTTTTTGTTATATCTTCTTGATCTAGAGGCATATGGTGTATTTGGTCTCATGCACAGGTTTGAGCTTTCATGTTTTGATCTAGTTTGGGAAGAGACATGCATTGTACATGCAATATCCATAAAGTAATGATTTTTTATGATATTTTGGGGTAGGAAATCCTTCTGGAAGTTGTGAACTTGTGGCCTTGGTGATTAGGTGGTTAATGGACTAGTTCATGCCTCAAAGTTGTTATTTAGGATCTAGGCTTAGAGACCTTGACTTATTCAAATGTTTTAATGGATAAAGTTGGAAAATTTATCACTTAAGAACTTGGGAAGTTGTTATTTAGGACCTAGGCTTAGAGACCTTGACTTATTCGGATGTTTTAATGGATAAAGTTGGAAAATTTATCGCTTAAGAACTTGGGAAGGACCAGATATGAGCTTTAGAGCTCTTGGAGTGGGATGAAAGAGGTTAATCCATTAAGTTGTCAAGACCAAGTTTCCACGACATGGCATCTTGTCCAACACAACATGGTGACTAGGAGATACAAAACTATCTTGTCTTTATCCTACCACGTCGTGGTGACTCATTGTAGTGGGCTTAAATAGTTGACTTTGACCATTGACGTTTGACCTGGTTGACTTTTGGCTATTTGGTTAGTTATAGAAGCTGAAATAAAGGTTTTCCTTGTATGGTTTACTATAAAGTGTATAACACCAGATTCATTGTCTATGAGAGCTGGTAGTTGTTGACTTTGTCTGTAAGGCGAGTCTTCTCACTATACTTGTGAAGGATGCTAGTTGTCATTGTGATGCTTGCATGGAAGACCATGGGGTAGCTAATGACAACTGTATGAGAGAGAATGTGGGTAGCCCATGGAAATTGCATGAAAGACCATGGGATTAGCTCATGACACTTGCATCTCAGACCATAGGGGTAGCCCATAGTATTTCAAAGAAAGACAATGGGTGTAGGTAATGACACCTAGATGTAATACCGTGGGGGTAGCCTAAGACATTTCAGGGGAAAGTGTTGGGTTTTGGTATAATACAACATCCTATGGTGCACATACAACCCTAAATACCTTGGATCTATGTTTTCACTAATTATACATGCAAATGGTTTCCAAGGCATTAAACCTATAACTAGCATGCATTTGACATAAACCATATAATATACTAGTTAGGGAAACATACCTTTTATGTGGCTTGAAGTCTTGATGTATTTGGCCTTAAGAGCTTAGCACCAATAGTATGAAATGCCTCAAATGGAATCACAACACACCTAGGACAAAGGTGGCTCTTGAGAGAGAATTCCATGCACC